GATAAGCTAGAAATAAAATACGAAAGGAAAGAGAAAAAAGGCAGCGGGGGGCAATATTATTATATAACGAGACTCGTATCTTGTGCTCGATCAAGGTTTATTGCTCCCCGTATGGGTCATGTACACAGGGACATGACAGGCCTGCTTTTGTCACCATGGTCTGCCACAGTTTTTTGAGGGCGGCAGCGCGATGATGTAACCACCCCCATCCCTTTGTGTCCCCAGCTGTGTCGTAAGGAAACGCGCTATCCATGCGAATGCCTGACGGCAGTGCAATGTGCTATGAAACATTCAGCGATGCAACCGAGATCTCGGTCAGCTATCTATGTGATATGAAAAGGGGTATAGGTATAACCTGAAGGGACTATCCAGCGATATACGTCACGCGCAGCTCAGAATCCTGCCCTCAGGGTGAACGAATAGTAATTCACATGTGCCCTCGTAAAAACGTTTTCGGTTTATATGGAACAAAGACAAGGGACGTGAAACAAGGTTCATGGTGTCGTTTTCTAATTGGTTTCTGCTTGTATCAGGTGATACGCGCTTATACGAGCGCGTAACCATGACAAAGCGACGTCAATTTAGGGCAATGGGTTGTTAAATCAGGAATATTAGAGGAAAAAAGAGTATCTTGCAGTTGCGTAAGATTGTGTCCAAATTAGGCTTTTCTAATAAGGGACGGTGGAAGTGCCGCTTCAGGATGCGGCAATAAATAGTCACGTTTATCGTCTATTTAGAACTAGGCACAAAGGATTTCCTGTCAAGACATCTGAGAATACGGCACGTCTTTAAATGAATGATGCACACTGACCTATCAACGCTTCTAGCCTTGCGTTCGGTACTACAACCGTTGCCCTAGATGAGTGGCTCCTAGCTATGCTGTTCGAACTAACTTTTCGAACTTATACCACCTCACGTGTCCGTACGTTTTGTAGACAAACGCGTTATTACCGCAGCATCATGGGAAGAGTCAAGGTTTCACTGCTTGCCACTATTGCATCGTGCATTTGTTCTTGTCTCCCTTGAACAAACGTGTAACTACTGCCTATGGTACGCAGACTTCTACGGCGCTTGGTTGTTTTTGTGTGCAGTCGTTCGACAGACAACCACTCCGAGCTAGGTATTCTGTGACCTATATCTTTCACTATCATAGTAATGCACAATTAAGGCGCTCCATCAAATGGAAGCTCCACCTTCTAATGAAATTTACACCGTGAACAAATCGTATGAGCCGATAGCTCATTCTTCTCTTCCTCATAATTAAGTATCCTATGCAAGTACCAAAACCGAGAATTGAAATGATCTAACTTATATGTTACGCGCAGAACGCAGGATTTGGGTAAGATTGGTCTATTGATTAGAAGTCTATTGGTATTTTTTTCACATCTTAACACTATCATATGTATGATCATATTGGTAGGCCCGTGTTAGACTCTAATGGTAGCTTCTCATGGTCAAACGTTGCAGAAATAAACAGCCGTAACCAGTTCCTTTACCCCTCTCTAACTTTGGGAGTTATCAGTTTAGACGTAGTTGCATAATACATTTCATAACAAACATCACAACACTCCTAAAGGTATAACTAAAGAAAAGATGAACAGAAATAAAGAGTAAAAACAAACACTTATACTTCACAATGGGAGACGGTCGGCAAGGTTCTATTCGCTTCAGCGGACGGAACGTATAGAACCCAGAAACGATGACTGGCCAATTTTGTAAATAACCCCAAAAAAAACCTGATTGGAAGGGAAACAAGCAGAAGTGATAACGCACAAATACATCATTACGCTCATGGCGGTCGCAAAATTTCGCGTATCCACGGAAACATCTAATTTAACACGTTAAAAACTGTCGCAGCAAATGATTTTTTCGACGTTTTCTGTAGGTATGAGCGGCTCTTTCCAGGGCGTACTAACTGTATACGATTGCTCTGCAATAGCAAGTGTCCTTGCAAGTAACGAACTAGAAGGGCTTCGCTTACCTCTGCCAGATCGTGCCCTATAGAACAGTTCGAGCCCGCAACTACCTGCACGAGCTGCAGACCCTCGTGAGACGCGTCCACCCGCCGCCAGTTTGGGCATTACCTCGTTTCACATCACCATCGCTTTCGCACGGCATCGCAGAGATCGCCTGATAATCATCACGCATTCTTACCGGTGAGTGCCGCTGTACACAATTTGTCGTAATAGTTTGTATCCTCGACTCTGTGAGCTGACCCTGGCTGACCGTGTCCGAGTTCGTCTGAGCATTCAAGAAGAGTCGGCAGATATTACGACTATTACTGGTAGTAGTCATAATAATCATAGTAGCAGGAGCAGCAGCAGCAACATCGTCATTGGCAACAGCCGTGGCAAACCCTCAACGCTGCGCAACCCGATGTGGTTATAAGCTCGCGCTGTGTCAGCTTCACCTATTCGTTCGCTTACGTGGTTCGTTAGATACGCGTAGTAGCAGTAGTAGTTAGTAGTAGTAGTAGTTAGTAGTAGTAGTAGTAGTTAGTAGTAGTAGTAGTTAGTAGTAGTAGTAGTTAGTAGTAGTAGTAGTAGTTAGTAGTAGTAGTAGTTAGTAGTAGTAGTAGTTAGTAGTAGTAGTTAGTAGTAGTTAGTGGTAGTTAGTGGTAGTTAGTAGTAGTTCGTAGCAGTTAGTAATAGTTAGTAAGTAGTAGTAGCAGCAGCAGCAGCAGCACTAGTGGCAGTTGGCAGGCGCGCTTATGCCCCCTTCCAGCCTCCTCAAATCCTGAAAGTAGCAACCTCTCCCCCTCCTCAAGAAACACAATTGGAGTAGACGCGGCACTATCAGCTTGGTAAAACAGTAAGCATTCGTTCATGGCGGCCAGTTGCGTGTTCGTCTGACAGCTCAGCCCTGGCCACTCAGCTTGCTGCCTTCTCCTTACAACGCGTGTTCCGCTGCGCCCAACAACCGGCGCTACTGGTAGAGGGTCTAGGTTTGACCCCTGCACTCAGTTCAAGGCTCGGTCGGGCGGTTATTGTCGCATGGGTACAATAACATGCTGCAGCAGCCCTAGCAGCTACTTGAACCATCGTCTCACCTATTCATATGTGGTACCGTGGTAACCAAGGCTGAATGTTCAGTACGTGGCTAGTCACGGATCCCACGGACGAAAGCGTGGGTAGATCGGACCAATCGGAGCAGGATCAGCCATGGGTTGTTCAAATGTAACGTGCCGCGTCCAGTTAGTTGGTCCGCGTTGGTCAATTATCCGCTGGGTTATCAACTAAACAGGTCAGTAGAAGTGTGGCCTAGCTTATGCTCGGTGCGTGTATGTACTTCGTCAAGCAAAAGCGAGGTAACTTGAACGACGTTGTATGTATATATCCGTCCACAGATTGCAATTTACCGAATGGGTAGTGGGTGGTCAGAGGGGCGTCGGCCGCGGCAAGGGTCTGGTCTGTCAGACCGTCGACAAGCAAACGGACGGAGAACGACGAGAACCTGCTCAGCTGGCTGGAACCAGGTTATCTATGCTATGAAAAAATCAGGCAAAACTCCACAATTCAACGGCTAACTATCGCTGTTGCTGTTGAAGTCGGATCGTTGTGATAACCAAGACAGTCACTGCGGCCGCTTATTGCTCGCCCAGCTGCATCAGTGTTATTATACGTAATCTTTCAGTTAAGAAGAATGATTCGGTTAGAAATAGGAAGCTTATTCTGTCGACGAGGCGGACTATATGCCTTCTCTATTTTGGGGAACTCTAGCATAGACTAGAAGTAAACTATGATAACTAAGGTAGCCAACCGTAACGCTTCTTTCCATACTATAATCCGCCATTGGTAGTAAAGTAGCAGGGCGTGAGCTGTCCACCCGTGTAGCATAACAGTGTTTATCATGGGCCTGCGTTGAAACAGGCGGGGTACTTTTTTCTCTTTTTTAGCGTCAGTTGTCCGAAATTTGATATTAATTTTACCTTGTTACCGATATCTTTGGTCATACAGAAAAGGGCGGCAGACCGCAGGTGGCAACAGGGGCTGTCGCCGTTGCATTATTTCTTAATTTGAAGCGGTGCCTGTTTTACGTGACTGGACAAACGAAGTTGTCTCGTTAGTATGTAGTTAATGCTGTTTTAATAATCATTTATTTTGATGCATCGGCGAAGGCTAAAGCGGTCACGAGGCTGGTTTTACAAGCCAGTTTTAGATGAGGCTCACGTTCGAATCTGAACATCCGCGTGAAAAGGTCTTTATGGAGGTTATTCGATCAATTAGGACAGTATCTCCATAGAGAAGAGTTATAAAAAAAAACTAGATCAACAATGGTCGAAGGGCGCGAAAGTTTAAGGTTGCATTGGTACGAGGCTGAGCGCGCGTACCTAACACCTTCTACATTAGTGTCCACCTGTAATCGGAAGCCGGAAATGGCAAGGCGTTCCGCGTGTTAAAGGACGACCAAGAGAAACGTACTTATTTCCCCGCGCGGATGCTGCATGACGATATCTCGAAGGTATTGCACTACCTGTATTTGTCACATATTTCGTGAGCGATATCGATTTCAGCGTCAACGTCATTAATGATAAAACAAGAACGTCGAAAACGGCGAAGTTGTTATCTACAGCAAACAAAAAAAACACTCAATGGAACTCTCAAGTCTTCGGCTTTTTTCAGCGGCTGTCTCGGAGCAGCGATTGTTGCTAGGGCAATTTTTTGCTACCACGATACACCTGTCGACTTAGCTTGTTGGAGTTCTGCTTTGTTAGTGCATACTGTGTTGGTGTATACCCGCATTAGCTTAGCGCGCGCGAGTGAGCGATGGAACAAGGTCCATGTCGTAGCATGTCCGCCAAGGAAACAAAGTATGACCCACGTGAAACACTTTTAATGAGACAAGCACCGCCGATTGGCCACCTCTTGCTTCTCCTGAACACATCGATTGTGACCAAAATAGGATGATCTTCCCGAGTGCAGTAGCAGCGACGACGACGACGATACAATGTAACGCATCAATCGTCCACAAAAAAACAACTCACATACATAAATGGTCACCTGAGCTTAACGACGGGAGGTGGAAGGGCGCTATTCAATGAGCACCGGAATCGCCATTTTGTTCCTGTCGTTCGCCGCCATTTACTGTTCGACGGCGATCGTTGTCGATATGTATGCATCGCTCAAACGAGTTTGTTCTATGTCTGTTTTGCACAAACAGGCATTGCCTGTGAGAAGCGATAGCGCAGTACTTAGTTCGGGCTTACTTTACTACGTAAGTCGATGCTCAATGGCTGGCTGACAACTCCGCTACAGGCACTAAAGGCTCTCTCAACATAAACATTACGGCAGCATCAGGAGAAGTCACTCGGGCTGTCGCTGCTGCCGGGTCGTTGTTGTTGATGAGGCCTATCTTGGCCTCCCCGTGCCGGTGGCTGTTCAACTGTTCCCCAGTTTCTTCTTGGCTGATCACGGTCAACTACTTATTGTTGCTTGTTGTTTATATTGCTGCGGCTATCGTCGTCGTTGTTGTTGCGGCGGCCGCTTTTATTGAGAATGGCACTTGTCGTATATCCTCCACTTGTCGGACCTCACCTTTAGCGATGGCCAGCTGTAGATGTCGTCTGTTTTGGACACTTCATCAGCGTTAGCCGCTGCGGAACACTACCACGACGGCCGATGAGCGCGTTGCTTGTGACAGGAACAGCGGCAAAAATAGCAGCTACAAACAGAAGCAGCAGCAGCGGTGGCGGTGGCGGTGGCGGTGGCAACAGCCGCGAAGATGCTAATGTAGCCCGCTAGATTACTTGTCTTCCCTGCGAGCTTAGTGGTTCTGGGTGTATACTCTATTCGGCGGTATGAAACAAAATACCAGTCATATGGAGCACGCTTACTGCCAATGGTAGTAGTCAGGAAACCACGCCAACTAAGTGCAGCTGTGTATAATAGCTTGAGGGAAACATCCGGAAAGACACTACAGTCCCCAGTTAGTTGGCAACGTCAGTGGCGATTCTGGCATATTCAACATCTGTCGACCCCTCCGCCGACATCCGAGTAACCGGCCAGCAGATCGTTGCCTCCCGGATCCCCCTGCTAAGTAACACAACAAAACGACGAAACGAACTGCCACAGACTGCGGAGCTGGACAGCAGAGATCTATCCGATAGAATCAAGGGGCAACTGCCATGACCATTGCTGCTGATGCTGACTCACTCTGCAGCTACTGGTAGTTTTTTTAAAGTACCGACACCTGTTATACATCTTAAAGAACACTGTATTGCGTTGTTTTTTCTGCAACGGCTGCGGCGGTGGCTGCGGCGGCAATGGCAACGATTCTAGCATATTAAAGGTGAGCGCTTCAGGAGCGCTTCGCTGGCTGCTGATTTCATTCGCAGTTTCTGCTCCACAAAACAAGTGGTAAGCGAAACAGCGTGCAAAATGGTGGAAAGCAACACGGACGGAGCGTCGACCAGAACGGGATAGGGTAGGGGAGAGCCGAAAGAGGCTAAAAAAGCCATTGCCTTCTTGGCTTTTTTAGCCGAATGGTTATTGCTGTTTCCCAAGATGCTGATGCTTCCTTTGCCACTGCCTTAGCCACTCCTCGAGAACTCTTTGGGCAGTGTTGTCTACTGCGTTCTTTTTCAAAAAGCCCACAAGGCCATGCTCGCATTTTCTCTGCAGCTGCCAGTCCTATTGGGCCTAGTCGGTACTCGGACTGGGTTTATTGGGCGGGCATTGGCATCAGTGTTCAAGCAGGTGGTAGCGGCAACGATGATGAGCCAAAGGAAGTATCATTACCAATCGACCGCTCGCAAACAGGGGAGGACAGGCGGGCACAAACTCGCGGTCGCGACCGGCATTTTCTTCAGCAGTCACCTCCAATAGGTCGGCAATAAACTTATCTTTCCCGCTGTTGTTAGGTTTTTGCCAGAGAAGTTTTGCGTGAAAATGAATTTTTCTAGCTCGTTTTCAAGCAGAACATCCTCTTGCCCCTGTAGAGTGCGAAGTCTTCTAACGTTTCCGACAAAGAGGATAGCGCACTATCCTGCGGACCAGCAGCCACTTCCAGGTTTTCGCTCAAATTTCCGCGAAGAAGAATCGGTGCATGCACAGATCTGAAAGTGTGTACATGTACTAAGGAGACTAGAGGCTGAATACGCGGAATGGTCCAATATGAAGCAACCTGTCCGAATTGCTGGAAAAATCTGCAAACTGGATAAAAACGACGCTTAAGGAGGCCTCATAGAGTAAAATAACAGCTGTTTTACTAAACGCAGAACGTCACACTGCAAATTAGAATTTGCTGAAGAACAGGACGCGATAAAATACCCAGTAAGAACTACCTCACTCCCCATAGTCATTCTTAAAGGCAATAAAAGGTCGTAATATTTCTAGTAAAGTTATAGAGGAACTAAGATGAGCTGAAAAAGCTATTAAAATGAAGCTTATTTATAGATGTTGACTGTTACAGAACAATGCGAACAATAAGTAGTAGCACAGGTTACCTATGATGTGCCATCGCCTATAGATTCCTTCAGTTCAACTTCAGAGACGGTTTCCTATACGTGAGTCAAACAGTCCGTCATATCTACTCATAGCTTTGTCCCGATGAGTTTAAGCTTATTTCACGTTACGTCCGTAAAAGTTCCCTGTCCTAATCGCATCGAAGTAACTACAGCAGTCCGTGGTGCAATGAAGCTTGCAGTTACAGTTCAGTTATCAGCAGCTGTAGAGAACCAGGAAAGAGAGTAAAAAACTTTGGTTTAAACTTAAAACTTTAGGCTTTTGTACCCAGTGAACATCGGACGCAAAGGGACGGATAGGCAATGTTATATATGCGGAGAATATCTTTCACACGTTAATAATATGCCAGCTAGCAATGGGATGAGATTGTCGCGGGACTGCTTAATGCAAATCCAATAGGTCAACAACACACACACGCTAGCCATAGCGGCTGTGGTCTCTTTTCTTTGGAACCTTTCGAGTGGAAAGCCCTATTTCCCGTTGAATACTGACAACGGGTGATGATGACCGGAGCGGTTTGTCTCATTACAATAAAGGGGCCGATGACATGTACCTGTACAAGCTGAGCAAAGCAACAGTGTGTAAACGGACTCGACCGCTCTACATAAACAACGTAAACCTAGCAACCCAGCTTGCTAGGCCTGCTTGCACTTTTTTTACCGGCTCTAAGGAAATCGGCACGCGATGCAGTCGACGGCCATCGGTGTCGACCAGGCATGTATAACAGCTCAGATAACTACACTCGTCGACTGCACGGCCAACGCAGTGAACTTCCGATAACTTCAGCAATAGCAAATGAAAGAAACTTTAATGGTCATCATCAGTCGCTACTGGGCGAGGTGGCTTTTGACAGAATAAGACGCTTTGGGCGCACTCTTCCGCTCCGTTCTGGTCTGAACGTTAACCAAACCAGCCGCTATTTCTATAGGCGACTCCGAGCCTCGTATCAAAGATCAGGAGCTACAAGTAAACGCGCCAGATGAGTGCGTGCATTCGAGCATCACTTTTGTTGCTTTATTTCGAGTGCTGCGTGTTTGGCAACCAGTCGGTCACCGCTTTCCATGGACTCACACTTTTCTATGGCTGCTGGCTTTTTTGCAGGCTTGCTTTTGCTTACGCTATAGAAGTTGTGGACCTAACCGTTGGCGAAACCGTTTTCATCGGATCTTCTGCTGAAGTGAGCTCCTCTACAAAGTGCGTGCGTTACCTACGGCTACTTTGCTGCCTTGATTCCATTATGTTTATCCGTAACGCCAGCCGGTTAGTAAACATGTACAATGCAAGTGCATCGTAATCCCCCTCTTCCAATGGCTGCTATTGTTGCTCCCCTTAGCGTTTAAAGTGGGTACTAACTTTGTTTCTCTCGGCCGCCGGCTCTTTTCTGTCCCATCGAAAAACGGCCACACCGCCGATAAAGCCCACTGTCATTGACGCGCATCGTTGATCTGGTTGACGTCGAAGTGAAACTCCGCTGTTCGACGGAAAACCTCAATTACTTAACCAATAATCGCATGTCCTTATTGCCTTGCGCAAGTCAGAAGCGTCATCCATAAAGCGTTCTGTAACAGCTCTTGGTGCTTAGCCACTCAACTAGTGTACATTCGTGATCTGAACTGAGTCCTTATTGGATTTCTTTCGCGTCCTTGCCACGGCTGAGGACACGCCAGCCCTGTCCATCGAACAGAGCTACTATTAGCAGCCATGACGGCGAATGCGACTTCAGCTTCTAGCCACCATAAAGGATGTTGCTGTTTCTACATCAGTCGTAGAAATTGTAGTATCGTCGTATTAAATGGTACTGCTAAAGCGATGCACAACGGTGACAACCATAATTGATACTGGCGATCAACAAACACGTACACATCCATCGAGATCCACGCTGGGTCAGGCAGAAGTTGATCGCTAGTTAGCCAATACTAATTGCGATACCTAATCGGTAGCTGTTCAGGTTCTAACCGACGCCTCGACAGAGGAAGACAGCGTTTTAGGCTAACTTTTAATAGTGAACAGCACGAGAATGCTCTCCACGTGCCTCAGCCAGCTTTTTTGCGCTTTAAAGCCGCATCATCACGACCATCGTTAGATGTACAACACTTACGGCGTCAGTAGTTGTTTCAAATTTCAATCACTTCGGCGTTGATTCCATCGTCCGTAGAAATGGCTAAGTTCATCGTTGCGACCGTTCCCCTTTATTTTCCCGCTTTGTCGTCGTACCAGCTTGTCACTCGTCGTTCAGTGGTTGTGCCACCCAACGGCCCCCACTTGCGCTTTTGTTCTAGCAGGATTCGGCTCGTTAGAAACAGTGTTGTCTGAGACGGCTAGCCAGGTAGGGAAACAGCTGCGGGGCATGTTCTGCTGCTAATAGCAGAATTAGCCCTTCTGATTATCCGCCATTTCCGAACCACTGTGGTCGTTTTCTTTCTACGTTTCACCATCGTCGTGGTCGTCCTCGTCATAATCACAATCGCAAGTCGCCAAATCAACCTGCCCTGAGCTAGTCAGTCGGTAAGCATGGCTGACGCTGGCAGGCAGGCAGGCAGGCAGCAGCAGCAGCAGTCGACTGGCCGGCCTATCTGCGACACATAAAAACAACGCTCTGCCATTGCCATCATCAGGTGGAATAGCGACAGCTGTCGGGGAAGAAGGCAGAACACAGGAAAGTGGGGGTGGATGAAGGGATTCTACCGCGCCCTTATTGCTGATATCGTTGCTATTGTTATTGTTGTTGCGACGTTTCCGTCCGAAAGCATGACTTACTGGTAAATCAATCTTCGCTGACGAATTATATTAAGTAAAATCCAATTTTTGGGTTAGGAACAGGCCGTTCAGCTAAGCCACCTAGTCGACTGCACCCCCTGCGCACCTCGACGTGTCTCGACTGTTGTTTTTTCTGCTGC